AACTTTATTTTCGTAATAATAAGCTTTTCAAATTGCTAAATACAATAGCTTTTTCATCATGATTTAAATCAGCTCTAGGAGGCATAGTCGCTGTGATTGAAATCAGTGGCTTAACCTGTCACAGATTACGGACGTGCTAACATAATTTATTTTTTAACTTTGAGAAACTAAATGCAGAAAGACATTTCTATATAATTAAAAACTAGTTTATCAATATCAATATATCGCATAAGAATTCGAATTGTTATTGATGCAACAACTCACAAGTTTTTCCTGACTTTTGCATGATATCATTCTTTTCTATAAGCATACTCTCAGAATTTATACATTTATAGTTGTTAATGACAGAAATAGATTCAACCTTTTCATTCTTTAATAGTCGTGTGTGTTGTATATAAATGATGTGTTCAATTATGTGTTTAATGATATCTCTGTAATTCATAGCGTGTATAAAATTAGAGAAATCGATTATTTCAAAATTGATTTCAATAATCGATTTTGAAATCGAGAATCGATTAATCAATTCTAATATATAAATTTTGAAATTTTGAAATAAACTTATTATATTACATTTTTACATTATTTATATCGATATTACATTAATAATATATGAATATTTAATCACAAATCATCTAATGCGATCTGATATCAGCTTGCAGCCTAAATTAACCGAATGGATCATATCTCTAGATTTTTTACTTTATTGAAATTAATAATTATGGCGCTTTGCAATAAAGCGCGACATCTGTAGATCACGATGTCATGCGAAATTGCGATTTTAGCAGATTTTTCGATTCTCCGACAATTTGAAAGATTTTAAACAATATATACAATTGTTTATTGAAATATAAAATTAATATAAAATCTAAATCTCCGAAATTTCCAACTACCATCATCACAAAAATCAGTGTCACACTTTATTGCAAAGCGCTATAAGGTAGCCTTGTGGAAATGAAATTTTTGGAATTAAAATTTTATTGGAATCTTTCTTGAATTTTAAATTGGAATCAATGCAATATAAAAAAATGGCAGAAACTTGTACTGCGTTAAATTCGTTATTCATAAAGGATTTTTTCCTTAAATTTTTTATATAATAGAAACTGCATATATTATGATCCATACTCTTTTATTTGATCTTCAATATCGCCTCTGCCAATGTCAATACTTTGTTTTCTAAAACTTTCATCTTCAGTAAGATTTTGTTCGTTAATATTGTCATCATCACTTTCTTTTGATATGAGCTCTTCATAAATTTTATTATTAGTGATGTATCTCTCACGTGTTTTTTTTAATATCTGTAAATAACTTGAATCAAGAAAATATTCCTTTAATAAATCCTCCAATACTGCAATTCTGTCTTCTATAGATGCATTAGGAGGCAATTTACGCGGATCATCAGCAAGTGGAATTCCAGCTCTGGAAATGTAACGCCTCGCAAGATGTCTTTTGAAACTTCGGCGAAACGGCCACCAGCATGTACAAATTTGGCAAATGCCCTTTTTTGCCAAATAAATAGTCATTAAATGCTGTATTCGTATGATAATTTGATTAAAAGAAAAAATAATATAAATACCATGGAGAAAGTTTTTTAGATCCAAAAAATAAGATGAATATTGCTGACATTGCAGAATAAAAACCTCCAACGCCAGATACAAACTTAAAAACTAAATATTTGAGAACTCGATTAATTAATAAAGAAATATTATTATTAATGCATTGCATAATACTTGCAATCATAATCATATTTGTCTTCTTCATAAATATCAAGACCATATGATCTCATTACTAATATAGTATAAGATATATTTGAAGTCTCGATCGATTCTTGAACATTTGCTTCGATAAATATTTTTTCTACATCAGTTATACCAAAAAATCTGTTTATTAATGAATTGCTTATCCTTCTAATCCTTGTAAAATAATTAATGATGACCCATCGGCCACGGGCTATCGGATAAAAATATCCATTTTTAAAATAAATTTCAATGTGATTCGAAACTAAAGCATTTGATGATATATTCACAGATGTTATATTTAAAGTTATAATGGGATCAAATGCGAGCATTCCACCGCTAGGGAGTTGTTCATCACAATAGTATAGATCACATGAATAACTGATTTTCGCAAAGGTCCAACAACTATCGTTTGTTGAATGAATGTTAATGGCGTCACAAATTCCATCACATGTAACATTTGTGATGTTAATATCTGGTTCTTGACCAGATTCTAGAGCATCAGAGGCTATAGGACAAATAGAAAAATCTAATATTATAATTATAAGTCAGTAGGCAAAAGAATAAACTTGAAAAAATAATAATTTATAATAGCGATAGAATATTAAATTACCTGGAATTGTTGCATTATTCGAATATCTCTTGATAATGCTTGTGGGTTCAGTAGAAGCAATACCTTTTAAAGAAATATATATATAGATCAGAATAATGATCCAGAAAATAAAATTGCATATTTTTCTTAACAACTTGAAGCAATAAGGTTCTGTTGCTCTATCATAATAATACATCGGAAATAATTTGACGTTTGTGGAATAATATATTCTAAATTTTATCATTTTTACAATGTGCCACCATTTACTGTTACGTTACATCAAATTTGTGATAGTCTTTTATTTAAAAAAACCTATAATCATAATGACCGCAACAGTTGAATTTTTTGCACATTTACAAAGAAATTTTCAATGTCTTCAGTTAAAATTTATTTTTTGCAATATTTTTCTTCACTTTACTTTACAGAAAAAATCTTTGTAATTTCGTTGCTTTTACATTTGATTGAATCCTGCTGCTTTTGGATTTTCTGTTCAATATATTTTATACAAATAGTTGACTATAATGATCTAATTTATTGCTTTATGACATTACCTCAATACTTTATTTCAGTATTTATTGTGGTTTGTTATTTGATTCTTAAAATTCTAAGATTTCATTGTCATTGTTTCTATTAATAAATTTTAGTACAAATTGTACAGGCTTTTACAAGAACTATTTCACACACAATTATCTATATAACAATTAATTTATTTCCCAAATTAATGATGATCAATAACTCAGAATTGAAAAACTTAAACATCTATATTCTAAATTTTGTCGAAATCGGCCTTTTTTTATTAATTTTTGTCATGGTTATTTCTGTATGTTTTCAAGGGTAATTGATCATTAATATTTCTGAAATTTTTTGATAGTTGTATATGAATTCTTATAGTTTATTTTTAATATTTTAGAGGTCATAAACCTATGTTTGATGATAAAGCTATAGGTCTAAAGTCTGAAAAAAGAAAATCAAATATATTACGTGAGTTTTAAGTTATGATATGCCATAAAAACTTATCTAAATATTTATTTTTACAATAGGATTATATAAGTGGTATAAGTTTCAACAATTTCTTGCACACTCACAAGTCTTTCATTCTTCATTTCTGGCATTATTATGGAGTATTAATTTAACTTATAACGATTCCCATTCTAAAATAATGAATAATTTTGAGAAAATATTCACTTTAATTCCATGGTATTTGGCACTGCCGGCAATTATTGCTTTTATGATGATTAAAGGAGTAATAAAAATTTATTTCTTCATAAAAAAGCAATATAAAGTTTTAATTATTAATATATCTTTATTTTGTGATAGGTTCGAACCGAATCAATTTTGACAATGACAGAAGTTTATATTGCTAACGTAGTTTTAATTGGAGTTTACATTTATTATCTATATAAAAATAGGTCTACACCATTGATAATATTGGAAAATTTCGAATATTCAAATCCTTTCACATATCTTTATTTTATATATATTGTACTTTGTGGTATTTTAATTATTTTTTCAATTATTAATTCTATTATCTGTCAAAGAAATTTCGGGCAAAATCTAAAAATATTTGGTAGGTTTTTAATTTTTTAAAGTTATATTTAGGCTGTTTGAAATTATACGTCCCCTTTGAAATTAAACAAGTCAATTAGAATGTTCATTACGTCTTGAGATTCCAAAAGTTACGTGTTTAAGTCAACCAATAATAATGCTAATATTACATAATATTTATTTAAATTGACCCCTTGACGTTGCGCTTAAGCTTCATAAGAGAGCGTTAAACGAAATTACAATTTCGAATAGCCTTATCGTAAAACTAATCAAATATTTATTTAAATTTTACATTTTAGTAACATACCAACCATGGACAAGCGAATATAACTATGATGACGACTTAGATCAAACGTTGTAGTTGGAGGATAGCAAACTTTTATTGTTATTGGCTGATTTTTGTAGATCATCGCGTGACATCGCAAAATTATTATTGGTTAATCAAAATCGTTCACAAGACGAAAATATTTTATAGAATATATTATACTGGGTAAATGCATAGTATTAAATTACAAATTATATTACATTTACTACGTATACTATATATATGTGTTACTGTTTGATTGGACGATCATCACGTGATGTGGCCGGACAAACAAACCTTGCATATCACCCTTAACAGATAATATAGTGTTCTTCGCTACGCTCCGGACAAATGACTAAGTTGGCGTTAATAAAAGCATCGTTACAAAACCTCAATTACTCAAAGTCTATAAATATTATTCCATTTACTTTATGTAATGCTATTAGGAAAATGATTACATTCATGAAAAATATATTAAGAATTCTAAGAATTCTAATTATAATTGAAAAATTTGTAATTTCTAACAATTAAAAATATTACTTGTTACAATACAAAAATCTTTGTTTTTACACAAATCTCTGTGGCGCTAAACTCTGATAAATTTTCTTTATTTATTAATTTTTTTAAAAGCAAAACATGCTCAATTATTATTCTTATTTGTGAATTTTTTTTTTTTGGTATTAAGGTAAGGTCTTGCTTATATCTTTATTTTTTTTTTTGATATTAAGGTGACCTCTTTGGTCTTTTGACTTTTATTAATCACTTATTGGTATTGTGGTTCAATAAACCACTATAGAAGAGAGTACAATTGGCTACATGTGTAAATTTTCTATATTACCTATTTAAGAAGTTCACCCAAAGGTTTCTTACCAATTGTTGTACCTAATACCTTTGCTTAAGTGTTTTACTTTAAATTTACTGAATCTGTAATCTGTATTAACTCACTGGGTTATACCCAGATGCCCAGATCATCATCTCAACCTTAGGACTAATTTATCCTCAAGGTAAACTTTTCAAAGCTTTCTATAATTATTTTTACAACTAATCTAAGTATCGCTATAGCAGAACTAACACTTGCAGTCAGAATTAATTATTAAACTGTTATGCCTTTGTAGAGTTCACTTAGACCCTAGCATCTACTTTACAGCATAACTCTAATACTTTAGTATACCTCTGTCTTTTCTTCTGTCTTTTTACCAAACTCCTAATCCAAATAGTTTGTGTAGGACTACAACTAGTCTATCAGTATAACAGGTTAGTTTGATATTTTTTTCTTCCAGTTTGTTCTAGCAGCCTGGTTGGTGGTATCCTCAAGACTTCCAACCTGGAGGTTCTTGCCCATCTGGTTACTACAACCAGATACTAGACCTTGATATTTGTTTCACTAGGCTAGCCTTTACAGTAGAGCTGTCAAAGATTCAGTTACCTTTCTATTCAGATTTTCTCAAATAGATTTCTTGTTACCTAATTTCAATGGATTTATACAGTCACAAGAACTTATCTAGTGTTTGTACTATCTGATTTGTTAGTTTGCATTCTTCTGTATAACTTCAACATTGCACAGATATCTTATAACCTGCCAGTCATGCTAGTGTGACTGCTATTACAGATATTCTAATCCAATCATTAGTAACAGTTGCCATAATATGAATATTATATAGGTGATTATTCAAATTTTTGCTGTCAATGGGATTTGAATATCCAATCTACAACTTGAAGGGTTAATAACCTGACTATTTCACTAGGTCATCACACCCTACTTATATCTTTATTAATAATTTAAAATAGTTATATATATATATATTATAACCAAAGTTAACATTTGCAGTTAGGACTAACTATTAAACTGCTAACTATAAAGTTATTACAATTTATACAAAACAAATAGATTGAAAATTACATGCAAGAATAAAATTTTAGACTAATTTATCTATAACCTAAATCTACTAAAGTAGTCAAAGCTTATCTAGATTTGAATATTTAATATATAATTTGATAATATATTATATTTGATTTATAGAATAGATCAAATGTTAATTTTACAATATCATTAAAATTATAGATATGAAATATTTCAAAAAATTTTACATAATGTAAAAATTTCAAAAGAAATTTCAAAAATTTTTGCAAAATATAAAATATTTTGAAATATTACAAAATAAATTTTGAAATTATTACAGTATGTTATAAAAAAATTTTTAAAATATTGTGAAAATAATTTTAAAATTTTAATATAATATAAAATATTTTGAAATATAGTAAATAATTATTTAAATTTGTGAGAGCAAAATATTATAAAATAAATTTAGAAATTATTTAAAGATTATAAAATATTTTGAAAAATTCTGAAAAAATTTAAAATATTTTGAAGTTATAACATTAAAAATTAATATATTTTTTTTTTTAACTTTGGCAGCCTTGCTGTAAACCTTTATTAAGATTCTTGTACATATATTACATACAGTTTAACTTAAATTTCTGGTCTAACATTCTCTAGCTGCTTCTTTGAGTGCTTAGAGGCAGTCTGTTACACTGGTTAGAGATGTACCTGGACCCAGTGTTGTCATGGGACACAGATGCGAACAGTGGACAGTCCGGAACAGGACATCTCGGACATGTCTGCCAATATTTTTTTGTTCCAGACAATTAAAATTATAATAAGAACAGCCATGTTAGCCAATCAGGTTGTTCGATAAAATATATTACATGGGACAACCATCACAGACATGGATATTGTTCAGGACATGGGACACTGTCCAGGACTGTCTGTGTCCGTGCAATTTTGATGGGACAATGTCTGCGTACAACACTGCTTAGACCTAGAGGCTGTACCAAACTAGCCAATAAGGCCATATGTAAATGGTCTTGATTTACTATAAATAAAATTTGTGATTGAGCCAGACCATGCCTTGTGTATTTCTATTTTTTTATTTTTTTTTATTTTTCTTTGTCTTTATGATTTGATTCTTTTCTATTTTAATAGCTTTTCTTTAATGCTAAAGTTTTTAACTTTTTTTGTTGGATTTTTCTTTATATTTCTTTTTTCCCTTTTTGTTTTCCTATCAATTTCTATTTCTTATTCCTATAAAATGAAGACTTCATATCATTTTTTCTATATATTTTCGTAGAAGCAGTTCCATGTTGTGTTAATTGCTATTGAAACAAACTTTTTTATTTTCTTATTTGAATTTAATAAATCTCACAGTAATTCTACTGTTTTTTCTAATATTATATTTTTGATTATTCTGCACCTCACTTTTATGTTTTCTTCGGTTTGTGTATTTCAAAATATTTCCTTAAGCTGATCTTTATTTGCTTCTAATCTAACTTCATCTGAGAGCTTCATCTATGCTAAGTTAGTTGATATATTCTCTATATTTTTTTATATACTCTTGTAAGATTTGCATATTGCTAGATGATCTTGATCTCTATCTATATTTTCTTTACAAATAATGCAATATGCATTTTCATATAGATCTGGATAACATTGTATTAGTATTTTGGCTACTGGTAATTTTTTATTAATACATTTAATCAAAGTTCCTATTCATTTATTTTTTTTCATACTTGAGCATTTGCTTCCATTTTGATTTTTTATTTTCTTCTAAAAATATGACCAGTTGTATATTCTATTACTCCAATCTGGTTTCATCTTTTTAATTGCTGTTGTAAAGTTTTACTTTATACTTTTTTTTAAGTCAAAAATTTCTTTTATAAATTGTCTTGTAGAGTCCTCTATTATTTCATCTTTCTAACAAAGGTTAACACTAGTTTTTTGTACTGTTTCCTTTACTATTCTATCTATGTTGTCTAATTTAGATTCTTTTTTCACTAGTTTGTCTGCTTTAGTATTCCATTTATTTTCACTATGTTCTTTGACTTTAATTAATTCTAATTTGAGCTTCTTTAATTCTATACAATCATTAATGTTCTCTAATAGATTGTAGTTTTTCCTTTAGAGTCATTGTTTAGTTGAATTTTTTGTGTTTTTCACTTTTATGTTTGCAATTGCTATTGTATTATCTGTATAAATTCTGACTGTTTTCTTTTTTGGTATCATAAATAGCACAAACCATATTGCTAATAACTTTGGTTTTGTTGAAGATGGCCAGTTCTGCACTCCAAAATATTCTTTATCGAGCACTTCTTCTTTTTTTTTCATCTACTTGAACCCATCTTGCACCTATATGATCTGGGTCTTGATTTAAATTTTTTGTTCTTTTTTTTAAAGATCCATCTGTATAAAAGATTAAGTCTTCTTCT